TGCTGCAACATGCTGCAAAATGCTGCAATTTACAGCAACATACTGTTCGAGCTTATTGCTCGTACTATGTAGCAGCTTTCGTCAAGCGTTCCTCCTGTCTTGACAGTAGGTGCGCAAATCTGACAATAGTAATAATCTTGTTATCCTTGCAGTATTGCTAGAAATAAAGCAAGTTGTAGCTCTTATAGCTGTTAATAACTAGCAGACAGTGGCTGCTAACAGTACGCTTCTTTGTATGCGCGTTAAAGTGCTTTAACCAGTCTAGACTAAGCTAATTAGTAGTCCAGCCGCGCTTAGAGATTGCGATAACCTAATCCTAGGGTAGATTTTCCTCCTTGTACTAGTTTAAGAGGTGGTTGCCACCCTAAAAGATAATAAAGGGCGGAATAGCCCACCCTTTAGCATTAATGCCCTAGATGGCCGTTGTCCACTCCCGGTTGCCTGGCTAGACTGCTTTTGGCCGTCCTCGTCTCTCTGAACCTGTAACAACTGCTCTAGTGGATATCTGGCCTATTATGAACCCTGTCTTGTCAAAGTTGTACGTGTTGTCATCCTAGATGCCATACTTAGCTTTAATATTCTCTATAAGGTTAAACTAGCCTTAAATTACTGCAGGATCCTTGCAGAGGGCTCTCTTGTAGTTGTACTTGCGCTTAAACTTCACTTTAAGCTCTAAGTAACACTTAACAAACATATTAGGCTAGTTTATGCTAACATAGCCCATATTACGCTTAGCGCGCAAAGAATTAGCTATATTAGCCACAGCTGCCAGCCGGGGGGGAAATCCTTGCGCATCTAGCTTAAGTATGTGCTGAACAATCACCCGCTCCTCGTTATCGTCTAGCTTCCGTGAGTTGGCTGTACAATCAGCTCAGGAAGGTCGTCTGGCGCGTCAGTCGCTTATTGTCTTTTAAGGGACCCTGTAGATAGCTGCAGCGCGTTAGTTAGAGAGTGTCGCGTCTTGTTTAAGAGCCTGGAGCGCAAGCTGCATCTGACGTTCCTTTAACGCGTTTAAGTAGTGTTGTTAGGAATGCATTAGTGTAGGAAGGGTGGTGTGGTGGGGTCTTGGCAAAAGTGAGCGACTCAGGTGTGTGAGCAACTCGCCCATGAAGTACGTTATGTAATATTTAAAAATAATCAAAACAGACGAGATAAAGGTTATTTTCATAACTGTAAGGCCGGATGTCCTAGTGTCAGATTTAAGCACTGTTTCTAGGCTTCCTGAGATGAATGATGGGTTTGGATATGATGCATGGGATGATCGTTTATTGTATTGATTTATCGATCCTTTTTCTGCTCCACTCGTGTTGCTCGGCTTTTTGTTTTGCCGATCCGAGTCCCTCGCGCACTTGCCCTATGCGCGACCAGCTTGCAACATGCTGCAATTTGCTGCAAAATGCTGCAAAATGCTGTAACATGCTGCAATTTGCTGCAATTTGCTGCAACATGCTGCAATTTGCTGCAACATGCTGCAATTTGCAGCAACATACTGTTCGAGCTTATTGCTCGTACTATGTAGCAGCTTTCGTCAAGCGTTCCTCCTGTCTTGACAGTAGGTGTAAGGACGGAGCTCTGTACCACTACGCCAATACAACCAAAAAGGTGCGAATAATTAACCAACAGTTGATTATTGCGTACAGAATAGTATATATACCCGTCGCACGTAAGCACCATCTCGGCCTTACAGTAGGTGCACATATCTGACACCTAGAACGGGCCAGTATGGCCCCCCCTAACCTGTTTGGAGGTCACATGACCTGTGCTTCGTATATAAGCATGAATCCTGACAAGCGAGGCTTGGCAGCGATTCGTCTCTCTTACAATACACTCCTATCTTTCTCCGAAAGCTTGCTCTCAGTGCTATCCATGCTACCTACTATCCTATCTTTACAATAACCCTCTAAAGATTAGATTTGCTATCGCCTACCTAGGTAGAGGTTAACAACTACATATCTAATCTCTCTAGAATTTACATCCTATCTACTAGAGTCTTCACAAACAGTCTCTAAATTCTTAGCTTCTCTAGACTACAGATAGTTGAGCCGCAGCTAGGTAGGCGATTAAGAGGTCGAGCGATTGGTCTTACAAACGGAACGTGATAACAACGCTATAGAATCACTCTAGAATTAAGATAGTTGTAGTTACAAGTTCTGTTAAATAGCTATAAAGAAAGAAAGCTATATAGTATAGTAGCTATAGAGTATATAAGACTATATTTCTTTTACTACTTCTTCTTACTAATACTTTATAGAACCTAGATAACTAATATAGTATTAGATTTAATAAATAGCAGAAGACTAAGTAATAGTTTCAGAGAATAAAATAAAGAGAAAAGAAATACTTAATACTATTCTTTATAATAAGAATTTTCTATATAAGAAGATAAACTTGCCGTAAAGATTCTCATGAATTGTTCCATCTTAGGTCGCTCGGAACCTATTCGAAGGGTCCTTGTATCGGCCCTGACCCTGACTCAGCCCTGCTCCCTGCAGTTACCTCTATTCCTCTAAGTATTTAGTTGCACCTCTTCTCTTAGCTAGCTTAGTAGTTTTCTAATATCCTTTTATATAAGGCCTATAGGTGGTAATGGAATTCCTAGCTTATTAAGTCCCTACGCACTCCTGTCAGATATGCGCACCTACTGTCAAGACAGGAGGAACTTTTGACGAAAGCTGCTACATAGTACGAGCAATAAGCTCGAACAGTATGTTGCTGCAAATTGCAGCATGTTGCAGCAAATTGCAGCATGTTGCAGCAAATTGCAGCATTTTGCAACATTTTACAGCATGTTGCAGCAAATTACAGCATTTTGCAACATTTTGCAGCATGTTGCAGCAAATTGCAGCATGTTGCAGCAAATTGCAGCAAATTGCAGCATGTTACAGCATTTTGCAGCATTTTGCAGCAAATTGCAGCATGTTGCAAGCTGGTCGCGCATAGGGCAAGTGCGCGAGGGACTCGGATCGGCAAAACAAAAAGCCGAGCAACACGAGTAGAGCAGAAAAAGGATCGATAAATCAATACAATCAATCATCATCCCATACATCATATCCAAACCCATCATTCATCTTAGGAAGCCCAGAAACAGTGCTTTAATCTGACAATTAAGAGTCTCAGTGCCTCCATCAATACAAAATGGCCACCCAGCCTCCTCGAGACGCGACAGTCGTCCTTCGAGACCACACCGACTACAGAGCCTGGATGATGCAGCTGCAATCGAGATGTGTAGCGCACGGCATCTGGCCGCAAGTGGATCCTAAGTTGACCATCCAAATGACCTCCAAACCAAGAGCTCCAGAGATGCCGCTAATAGCTGAGTTTTCACCAGCCTCTAATGTTGAAACGCCTACGCACCTGAACAAGCTATTAACAAGCAGTGTTAGAGCCTTTAAAGAAGCCATTAAATACTATAAGATTAAGGCTAACAAGTACAAGAGTAACAGACATAATTATAAAAAAGAGCAATTAAGCTTCTAACAGATTATTGTCTTTATCTAGTTAACAGTTAGCCTGCATCTGCAGCGTACATGCTGTTCCCTAGATTAACTACTTAAACAGTAGATTATAAACCTTAAAGCTATAGTAGGTGTTAACAACTAATTTAAACAAGAACACACATGCAACTAATATAATGCATCTTTAAAGCTGCTAAGAAACGCAAGCATATAGGACCTATAGCTAGCAGAGTATAATTACGCTGCTATAGAAGCAGAGACACAAAATGTTCTAGAAACAACGCAGTTTAATGCTGTTACAAAGAACTTTTTAACTACTATAAATAAAGTTGCCTCTTATTAGTCTACAACTTTTTAGGAAAGTAGACAGTTTACACTAGATATAAATTAAAAAGAAATAATAAAGCGCTTTTAAAAACACATAATGTTAAATTATCTAATATGTATAAAAAAGCATAAAGCTGCCTTTATAATAGATAACTTATTATACTTTACTAAAAGTAGAAAAACTACCTAGGGCATAAATAAAGACGCCTGTAGTGCAGAAGTTATAATATTAAAAAAATAAAGTAGACCTTAATATTAATGTTATTAAGAAGATAATAGAAAGTTATTTTTAAGCTAGAAACCTGCTAAAACAGAAGGCACTAAATGTCCTACATGCAGACACATTTATGCACTAAAGGACTGCTTCTATGTCTATCTAGACAGAGCACTAGACTAGTAGATGCTAAATAAGAGAGTTAAAAAGCTTATAGCATTAAAGCATAAGCACAACTTAGAATTTTAAGGCCTACTTAAAGAGCAGCGCAGACATAATTTAAAGATACTAACTCTAAAAAGTTTACATACACCTACACTAGAGATATAAGAAGACTAACTTAAAAGCTAGAAAGTATTAAGAATTAAGGTAGCTATATTGCTAGCTATAGTTAATTTAAACTAGAATAGATATCTACTAAGAGAATTATTTATCTTTAACTTAGGCTTAATATGCTATATTATAAATAATTTTAATTAGATCTATAACTATTATTTACTAACACTAGAAGACTTTATCTAGTCTAAAAACTTTTATATATAGATTTAAAGCTACAGATTAATTACACTAAGCTTAAAAAGTAAGTATAGAACATATAGTTAAGCATACAGTCTTATACTACATAACGATACACTGTGCCTAGACCTGCTGTGCAACTTAGTCTTGTTCTGCCTACTGTAATAGAAAGGAATCTAGTAGGACACACAAGCAAAGCTAACTACTTTACAGGCCCTAGATAAGATAATGATTAAAGATCTTATAGAGATCTATAGCTAATAGGTGTTAGAGTACTATCTACTATAAAAGGGCTTATATTATACACACATAATTAACACAAGAACTAAACATAGTCTATAAAAGGCATCTACAAAGCTATAGCATAAGCGTCTTAGACACCCTAGACTAGCTACACTTTAACACCTTATATAGTAAGCTAAGAGGGTGTAAATTAAAAGAATTATAATAGTCTAATGTAACTTATATAGCAGAGCTAAGATATAATAATAAATTAGCTGCGCACTATAAATTAGTAACAGTAGACCTAGTAAAAGACTGTTAATTAATTTCTATGTATATAAAGCATAAAGCATTATAAAAGAGTAGTTAAATGCTAATTACTAACAAGTATTCTAGCCTCTAGTAGGACTTTTACTTTAAAGATAATAGGCTTGCTAAATTAATTTTTAAAGCTTTTATAATCTTTATTCTCTTTTTAAAAAACTATTATAACATTACTGTAAAAGTTATTAAAGCTAATAATAAGATTATAATAGTAAAACTAGAGGTAAAACGCTAGCTAGCATTACATAGAATAACTATTAAGCCTTTAGCACTAGATACATAAGCCTAGAACAGAGAAGCTAAACGCTTAGAGAGTGTAAACAAGAAGAAGTTATAGGCTATGCAACTAGATGCTAACTTACTATAGAACATATAGCTATACATTACTAGAGCTAGCGTATACCTATATAATTAAACGCTAAACTATGCTAATAACTAGAAGACACTATACAAGATCTTCTTTACATAAGTAGCTTTAAATAATAGAGTTATTATGTTAATTTAAAAGCTAAGCTTTACACATTTAAAAGCTTATAGCTGTAAAGCATTTATAATAACTAATAACACACATTAGAACAAATCTAAGCTATAAAGGCTAGACTTAAAGGCGTAGATTAGATATCTAGTTAGGTACTAATTATTAAACATCTACTGCGTATAAATACTACTGCTAGTAAAAGTAATCTAACGTACCTAACAGGTTGGCCGGCCACACAGGTGTCAGATATGCGCACCTACTGTCAAGACAGGAGGAACGTTTGACGAAAGCTGCTACATAGTACGAGCAATAAGCTCGAACAGTATGTTGCTGCAAATTGCTGCATTTTGCAGCATTTTGCAGCATGTTGCAGCAAATTGCAGCAAATTGCAGCATGTTACAGCATTTTGCAGCAAATTGCAGCATGTTGCAAGCTGGTCGCGCATAGGGCTAGTGCGCGAGGGACTCGGATCGGCAGAACAAAAAGCTGAGCAACACGAGTAGAGCAGAAAAAGGATCAATAAAAAAAACACAATCAAGACAATTAATTAATCATCCTATACATCATATCTAAACCCATTATTCATCTCAGGAAGCCTAGAAACAGTGCTTCAATCTGACAATTAAGAGTCTCAGTGCCTCCATTAATACAAATGGCCACCCAGCCTCCTCGAGACGCGACAGTCGTCCTTCGAGACCACACCGACTACAGAGCCTGGATGATGCAGCTGCAATCGAGATGTGTAGCGCACAGCATCTGGCCGCAAGTGGATCCTAAGTTGACCATCCAAATGATCTCTAAACTAAGAGCTCCAGAGATGCCGCTAATAGCTGAGTTTTCACCAGCCTCCAACGTCGAAACGCCTACGCACCTAAACAAGCTATTAACAAGCAGTGTTAGAGCCTTTAAAGAAGCCATTAAATACTACAAGATTAAGGCTAACAAGTACAAGAGTGACAGACATAATTATAAAAGAGAGTAATTAAGCCTCTAACAGATTATTGTCTTTATCTAGTTAACAGTCAGCCCGCATCTGCAGCGTACATGCTGTTCCCTAGATAAACTACTTAGACAGTGGATTACAAACTTTAAAGCTACAGTAGGTGTTAACAACTAATTTAAATAAGAACGCGCGCGTAACTAATATAATGCATCCTTAAAGCTGCTAAGAAACGCGAGCATATAGGACCTGTAGCTAGCAGAGTATGATTACGCTGCTACAGAAGCAGAGACACAAAATGTTCTAGAAACAACGCAGTTTAATGCTGTAGTAAAGGACTTTCTAACTACTATAAATAAAGTTGCCCCTTATTAGTCTACAACCTTTTAGGAAAGTAGACAGTTTGCACTAGACATAAATTAAAAAAAAATAATAAAGCGCTTTTAAAAACATATAATATTAAATTATCTAATACATATAAAAAAGCATAAAGCTGCCTTTATAATAGATAACTTATTATACCTTACTAAAAGTAGGAAGACTACCTAGGGCATAAATAAAGACGCCTGTAGTGCAGAAGTTATAATGTTAAGAAAATAGAGTAGACTTTAACATTAATGTTATTAAGAAGATAACAGGAAGTTATTTTTAAGCTAGAAACCTGCTAAAACAGAAGGCACTAAATGTCCTACATGTAGACACATCTATGCACTAAAGAACTGCTTCTATGTCTATCTAGACAGAGCACTAGACTAGTAAATGCTAAATAAGAGAGTTAAAAAGCTTATAGCATTAAAGCATAAGCATAACTTAGAATTTTAAGGCCTACTAAGAGGGCAGTGTAGACATAATTTAAGAATACTAATCCTAAAGAGTTTACATACACCTATGCTAGAGATATAAGAAGACTAACTTAAAAGCTAGAAAGTATTAAGAGTTAAGGCAGCTATATTGCTAGCTATAGTTAATTTAAACTAGAATAGATATCTACTAAAAGAATTATTTATTTTTAACTTAGGCTTAACATGCTACATTATAAATAATTTTAATTAGATTTATAACTATTATTTATAAACACTAAAAGACTTTATCTAGTTTAAAAACTTTTATATATAGATTTAAAGCTATAGATTAATTACACTAAGCCTAAAAAGTAAGCATAGAACACATAGTTAAGCATACAGTCTTATACTTTATAACACTGCACTATGCCTAGACCTGCTGTGCAACCTAGTCTTGTTCTGCCTACTGCAATAGAAAGGAATCTAGTAGGACACATAAGCAAAGCTAACTGCTTTAAAGGCCTTAGACAGGATAATAATTAAAGATCTTATAAAGATTTATAGCTAATAAGTGTTAGAGTACTATCTACTATAAAAGGGCTTATATTATACACATATAATTAACACAAGAACTAAACATAGTCTATAAAAGGCATTAGTAAAGCTATAGCATAAGCGTTTAGGACACCTTAGACTAGCTACACTTTAACACCTTATATAGTAAGCTAAGGGGGTGTAAATTAAAGAAATTATAACAGTCTAATGTAACTTATATAGCAAAGCTAAGATATAATAATAAATTAGCTACACACTGTAAATTAGCAATAGCAGACCTAGTAAGAGACTGTTAATTAATTTCTATGCATATAAAGCATAAAGCATTATAAAAGAGTAAAGTTAAATGCTAATTACTAATAAGTATTTTAGCCTCTAGTAGAACTTTTACTTTAAAGATAATAAGCTTACTAAATTAATTATTAAAGCTCTTATAATCTTTATTTTTTTTCTAAAAAACTATTATAACATTACTATAAAAGTTATTAAAGCTAACAACAAGA